TCAAATAAACCACTTCCTACTTACATTATTGATGGTGGTACAAGAAGAAGCAACTTCATCTGCCCTCGGTACAAGCAAGTTTTGGACATTTGTCTTATATCCTGTCATGTCACGCAGGATGCTATACTATGACCAAGTAAATGACAGTAGTCAATCTAACGGATTCAGGAACATGTTTCAGTTCGGTATCTTTTCCCCATCACACCTTCCTGATTTTAGTAGACATCTGGAAGTGGGTGGTAAAAGTACAGGTCTCTAGGTGTGGCTGGGCTGTAACTCTCAACATCCATAGCCATCACAGCCAATCATGAAGCATGTTGGGTGTAACAGCTGAACAACATCTTGAGGGGCCAGCATTTTGACCATTCCCACCCAGGAGGGATTCTACATTGGTGTGGGCACCATGTTATCTGACAGAAGTTATTGATGGTGGGCACTAGGTTTTATTTCCATTTAGAAACTGGAAGAACCTGAAAAATAATGAATTAGGTTGGCTCATGGCTACTCCAGAACCATCCCTGAACCCCAGAAAAATGAACCAGTTCATGGTTTATTTTTTTCTGGATTGTGCCTGGGAGGGGGGGAACCTAACATCTCCACCCCTTCAAGATTTTTGCCTCCAAAGAGTCCATATTTATGAGATGTGGTATGTTTTGTAGACATGAAATGTGAATAGCTAAACAGGGCTGTACGTATGGTGGTGGAGCAGTTGGGGCTTTACCCCAGGGCACCAGCATTTAAAGGGGACTGAAGTCTAGAGGTGAATGTGATGGAGATTGTTAGAAAACAAACAACAGCACCCCTAACTCTATTCACTTTTAAGTTCCTTTTGTAGTGATACCATATTTTCCTTCTCCTTTTCTCTTGGGGGCACACGTCCATGCATCAGGGCAGAGGGGGTGCAGATGGTGCCAAAATGGTTAGTTCTGGTTCCGTGACTAAAAATACACAGAACTGAAAAATGTGCACAAAACTATGCCGTTTTGCTTGTGTGCTATCATTGCCGCCTTTTGCTTTATTTCTAATCATGGGATACAGCAATAAAGAAATGAAATCAATTTCAAAAAACATTGCAATATATTTTTCATCCATTTCTTGGGGCACTATTGGTTGTGCCCGCAAGTAACATTAGAGGCAAAAAAAAATGTGAGAGTTCCAGACCCAGCTGACTTTTTTATATGGATCATCATGCAGGTTGTTATATCAGCTGTTTTGTAAATGTGCATAGAATGATTTACAAGGAAAATTGCATTTTAGACTAGCAGAACTTATTTCCAAGCATAAATGTGTGTGAAAGGAAGACATTACACTCTTGACCAGAATTCTACCCATCCTCCTCTGATCACTTTAAAAATAAATTGCATGCAGTTCTTAGGAATCACCAAATATATATATTATGGATAAACACTAGGATTTTTCATGGCATGAATAGGTCGGTCTTTCTTTCTTTCTTTCTTTCTTTCTTTCTTTCTTTCTTTCTTTCTTTCTTTCTTTCTTTCTTTCTTTCTTTCTTTCTGTATTGTTACCATACCATTTTTCTGGAAAACACTAAGACCTTTAACACAAAGTTTTAAAACAACAATAACAATAACTGCTAAACGTACCCAGTGTGGTGTAGTGAATAAGATGGACAGACTAGATCTCAGGAGACCTAGATTCGATTCCCCACTAGCTCATGAAAACTCACAGGGGGGAGGTAGCTGTGCCTGATAAAAGGTAAAGGTAAAGGTAAAGGTCCCCCTTGACAATTTGTCCAGTTGTGTCTGACTCTAGGGGATGGTGCTCATCTCCGTTTCCAACTCATAGAGCTAGCATTTGTCTGAGGACAATCTTCCGTGGTCACATGGCCAGCCCGACTAGACACAGAACGCCATTACCTTCCCATCGAGGTGGTACCTATTTATCTACTTGCATTTTGCATTTTGCATGCTTTCAAACCTCTAGATTGTCAGGAGCTGGGACAAGCGACAGGGGCTCATTCCAACGCGGGGATTCGATCTTATGACTGCAGGTCTTCTGACTTTGCAGCACAGAGGCTTCTGCGGTTTAACCCGCAGCACCACCACGCCCCCCTGGAACTGATAAAACCAAATCTTAAATATCTCATTTTCTTTGAAAGATTTATTAGGGTTGCCATAAGTTGGTACTGACTTGGCAGCACACAATAACAACACCATATAAAAGCTAGGTGTAAAGCAAACATGTGTTGCTTATATACTGCCTCCATAGCACTTAAAGCACTCTCTAGGCAGTTTACTAGTTACTTATGCAGGCTACACATTGCCCCTCCCCTGCAAGCTGGTTACTCATTTTTCTGACGTTGGAAAGATAGAAGGCTGAATGAACCTCGAGCTGGCTACCTGGGACTGAACCCTGAGTGCTGAGCAGAGTTTTGGCTGCAGTACAGCACCTTAACCACTGTGCCATGAGGTATGTACATTGCCTCCAGTACATGCCTAAATAAAGGAACACAGATTGGTGTCTCGCCCACCCTGGGTCCTTTTGGAAATACTCTGGATCTGATTCTTCTCAGGGCCCATTTTGGTAAATGTGTTTCTGGATCTCCAGGAAAACAACAACAACATCCCCATAAAGGGAGAAAAGGGAAGGGTTACACAGTACCATCAGGATGATTAAGGAAATAATTAACTGTCCACCTCCAGTCCGGAGAACATAAAGAGAAGCAGGAGATAGTTATTATGAACTTCGTTGGTGACACTGTGAGTGACAAAAAAAAAGAGAAGCCAAAGTATGTGGGCAGAAGAGGGACCCAAACCTCCTAAAATGAACCCTTACAACTTGATACAGCAATGTGGCTATACATTCAGTCCTGGTAGTGGTTTGAAAAGAAGAAAAATGATACATTGATGAAAGCCCCTCACTTTGTACTATAGTGATACTATTTAAAAAAAAAAAACACCACACACAATTGAGAGTGTTATAGCCCAGTGACCTCACCCAGAGGCCTTCAGTTACCAAAGTGTGCAAAAGAAGTCTTGTGCTTCACTGGGAGTAAAGATGTCTCCTCATTCGATACCTATGCAATGTCTTCCTTGTAACACACCAATACTTTTGATTCCTTTTTCTATGTTTTCAATTGCATCTATTTTGGCATTTTTGAAACCAAAGAATGCCAGATTTAACATAGGGAAGTAGTGTATGGAGAGGGTTGCCTCTCCACCCAGTGAGTCCCCTTGGGCTCTTTACTCTGCCCTGTAGTCATACTGGAAATGTACAAATAGCCCTGGTTTAGTTTATACTTATACAGTTGTCCAAAGGCAATGCACGTC